GGGCGGCCGGGCCCGCCCCCGCCCCCCCCCCCAGCCACTGGCAGAGGGGCTGGGCGAGTCCCGGGGTCTCCGGTAGCAGCGCAGGGACCTCTTGGCAGCAGCATGGCTGGGCTGGGCACTGGAAGTCCGCACCTCCTGGTCCCGGCAGGGGGATGCAGCTGGAGACAGGAGCACTGAGGTGGGGGGGCTGCTGCCCCTATCAGTGGCCTTGTTGGGGACGCTAGTCCGATAATCCAGGGAGGACTGGCAGGCTGTGCCCAGCGGCTCCGGGCTGGGTCCCACGGTGGTGCTGGGGGCTGGCGGGGTGGGCTTGGGCTGCTCCAGCGTCTGTTTGGTTAAGGAGGAGATGGGTTTGATAGTGATGTCCCGGTGGTGCTTGACGTTCCAGCGGGAGCCGCCCTCGGCAGGGGGCTGCGGGCCCAGGCTGCCGCTGCCCTCTGCGCCTCTGGCCGCACCGCGCTGGGGATGCAGTAGTCATGGTCTCCCGAGCAGACGTGGCTGGAGGCTGAGCTGGAGGGGCCCAGCGTCAGGCTCTTCCCCTGTAGCTTGCTTGGGAGCAGCGGCTTGGCTTTCATCAGCTTGGCCGTCTTCTGGGTCCCTTCCTGGCAGGTGACTTGGCCTTGGCCAGCAGCGAGACAACAGGCAACGGCTTCCAGAGCTGGTGGGGGGGTGTTGCTGGCGGCGTGAGGCCTGTGAGAGCACCACAGGGCTTTCAACAGCAGCCCCTTGCTGCAGCCCATGCAGCTGAGGCTCCCTCCTGGCCCAGCTCCCCTCAAACCCCAGGGTCCCCCCAGCCCCACAACAGCCCTTGCCAGGGCACGGCAGGGTGCCCCGTCTAGGCGTTACCTGCCACGTTGGCCAGCTCAGAGGCCTGCAGGCTGTCCGGGAGCTTCCTGTCCTGCTGGGTCTCAGGGCTGAGAAGAGGAAAGGAGCTCTGTCAAATGCAGCAGGCAAAGCCCATCCCCAGTCCCCACACCTGGGACACCCACCATCCAGGCCCAGGGGACAGAGGATCTGAAAGAGCTGGAAGGATGGAACTTCCACAGCTTGCTTGTGCTTATCTGCTTCCCCCCAACTTTTGCCCCTCAATGACAGCTCTGTCCCCCAGTCCCACAAGGAGCTCAGCCCCTCCTGGGATGGTGGATACAGACCCTGGTGTAGTTCAGACCCTGCCAGGACTGAGAGCTCCCCTATACCCCACCAAAGGCAGGGCTCGGCCTTCTGTCGGGCTCTACACTGGGGCACTGGATGTGAAGTTGCTGGTTCTCACCCGGAGCTCGCTGCCGGCCGCTGGTCCTCAGGGGGCTGCACAGGAGCTTCCTCCTTCTTGGCTGAAAACAGAGCGGATGGGTGAGGGTGGTGAGGGGCTGGAGGGCAGGGGACAGACCTGCACACTAGGGGACACAGGGCATCCCAGGCAAAGCCAGGGAGAGATTTCACAGCACCCCAAACCCAGCTCCCTGGAGAGAGGCACTGTACAACCCCTTTCCTTCCCAGGCTATTCACCACCCCATTGACCACCCTGGGGACCCACAGATGCTTTCACAGACCAAGGAGACAGGGGCAGAGACACCCCCAGGCAGGGTAACACCATCCCACAAGCAGCAGCATCCCACCCCACCACAGGGAGCACAGGCAGCACAGGGAGGCCGGCATGGCATGGAGGGACCCCCACAGGGATGGACACCGCATCCACACCTTCAGACTTCTCAAACTGCTCCAGCAGGCTGGACAGGTCGGTGGCTTCGATGCCTCGGCC